GCTCGGACGCAGAGAGAGAACGAGAGCCTCAAGCGGAGGCTGCAGGAGCTCCAGGATAAGCTCAAGAGAGGAAACACAGGTAAATCATAAATTGAATAATGCGACCGCTTTTGTAGTACTCTGCCATCATTAGGGGGTGGTCTGTGGGTTAGGACCCAATGATCAGAAGATCACTGGATCAAATCCCATGGCTGGCAGAGTGATGTCATCATTGGGCCCTTAACCCCAGTTGATCCAGGGGCTCTACTCTATGAACCTGCTAAATGAATAGGATGTATGTAAAAAATGTAGGATGCCTGTGATTAAATATTAAATAATATTTTTTAAAAATCTGTTTTATTAGGTTTTATATGTTACTGTTTTGTTATAGTCTTAAATGAATTGGTGGATTTGATACTGAGAATTTGAGCTGGTCTGTCTTTATGCTGATTTGTCTTATCCACCTGTTCTAGGTACTGTTCAGTCTGTTGCACTTCATCTGTCTGGAGAAAGAGTTCCCACTGAGCAGGAGCAGAGCCCTGGGCTCAGGCAAAGCCCAGAGCTACATCTGGCTGAAGAGAAGCAGGAACCTCCTGAGGAAGCCAGTGCCATGCAGAGGGAGGAGGATCTCAGCACATTGGAACCGAATGCCACGCCAGAGCCAGAGAGTGACTACAGTGTAACATTACCTGAAAGCGACGAAGGAGGTCCTGAATGTGGTTCTCAGATGTCCGACACAGACCTGTCAGTGTTTGGGCCTCGTTTGAAAAGTGCCCCCGACCTGGACTCCATTCACGTGGTGCGTATATCTGATGGACTGCCTGCTGGTGCCTTTGGTTTAGCAAGGCAACCAGGTTTTACCTCTGATGACATTAAAATGGAGGCAGAACTGCCTGATTACGTAATGGCGAGAAGGCACATATCCCAGAGTCCTTTTGATGAACATGCAGACTCAAACGCTAATGTAGTGCAGCAGGAACCCACCAACGAGGCCCCTCAAGATAACATGGTGGATTTGCCTTTTGGTCATTCTCACTCAAACTACAGTGCCATGGGAAGGAGGTTTGCATTTAGTAAAAACACTAGGAGCACTCACGAGAGTAGGAAGCACAAGCAGTACTACAGGAAGGACGAAGATCATCGCTGCATCTTGTGCGGAAAGACCTTTAGCCGAATCGGAAACCTGAGGATACATCAGAGGTGCCACACAGGAGAGAAACCTTACTGCTGCACGCAGTGTGGAAGGTGCTTCAGTCAGGCGGGTGACCTCAAGAAACACAAACGAGTGCATACGGGTGAGAAACCCTACTACTGTACTCAGTGTGGCAAGAGTTTCAGTCGTGGGGAAAACTTGAAACGACACCAGAAGATTCACATAGGAGAGACTCTGCACCTGCATCAAGTCTGGAGAGACCCACAATCTAATAAGGCACTTTGAGAACTCTGTCATTGATTGTCGGTTATGCAAATATATACCCTCCCCTATAAAATTATATTTTTTTACTAGATAACATTATTATTGGTTTTTGTTTTACACATGGCTATTGCTGGGTGTTGTGTTAAGCTGTATTTATTGATTTGTTTAGTAACATGTAGCTGTATGTGAAAACCAGTGCTGCGTAAGCTTTCTTATCGTTATTTCATACTGACACTGTACCATCTTCAGCAAATGCTTTTAGTGTCATGCATTTCCTCACTGCCATAAAATAAAATTAGTCATCACTATAGCCTCCAATTTACATGTTGATTCTAAAATAAATAGAAATAAATAGTGCCTATTGTGTGTCACTTTCTAAAATAGGATCACGTGTGGTGCATTGATGCTTTTGTCAGTCTAACATGTTCCTGCAAGGTTTTTTTTGGTTGCTTAACTTCTGCTTTGCTTCCTGGACCTTATTTTATTTCTTGGATGTAAACTCCTTTCTGAAATATTGACTGGCACAGGAGTTCCCCTTACTTGGCTTTCAGTTCTGTGGTGCTTAGCATGTATGCTGTAAAATGGGGTGGGGGTGTTGAGGACAATAGCTGACTACTCTTGCATTGTTTTTGGAGAGCAGCTCATCTCACCCAGTACACAGGCCGTACAGATTTATTCAGTGGTTTGAAAGGCATTGTCATATTTAATTACAACATCATTTTTCTCTCACAATCCCACTAGATGATTTAACTGTTAGGCTTAAATGTGATGGAGGTGTCCTATTTGGCAAAATGAATTTCACAAAAAATCTAGCTTAACTTTGAAAGGTGATACATACGCATCCTTGAAAATATTGAACTACTGTAGCTAATTCTCAGCAGAGTTCTCAGGAGAGATGGAGATGTGGAGCTGTTTCAGGAGGGACTTTAGCTTTGCCGCTCAATGGCAGTGGCTTTGCCTCTCATGGACTTTGTGTGGTCTCCTACATTCCAAAAACACAGGGTGCAGGTGCGTCATGACCAGTCTGGGCATGATAAGTGACAGTGGGAAAGTTCCTTGAGATGGACTGACATCTGGCATCACAGCTGTATTCAGCTGCACAGCCTGTGGTCACCGTTTGTCTTGTCTTCACTGGACAAGCAGTTACTGAGAATTTATTGATACGTGGAGAGATAGAAAATTTGCAGACTTCAGGAGGTCTATGATATAAAAATATATTTTACAGATGGGAAATCATATTGACCTTGCTATTAAAAAATGTTAAAAGTTATGAAGAGAGTGCATTATAAATGCTGGATTATTTCCTGAGCATTTCACATTGTACAAATACCATCCTAAAAGTGTTCAATTTTACACGATGGTTTTATGAGAACAAGTGTAAACTACCATTTAAATGTTCCTTTTGAACAAACAGCTGGCGCGACATGGTATGAGCATTCACTGATCTGTATTTCCTCTTAGTAAAGATGTGTTAATTTCCTGTTGGTGCCATTTTTTCAAGTCTGTCCAAGTTAGTGTTACATCCTCAGGCTTCACTAATACTTGCAAATACCAAAGCTGCTGCAACAATATTTCTCAGTAATTTTCAGCGATACTTCTCAAAGGGTTTTTAATGGTTAGGAACAAGTTTTCCAGTTGAGAGACATCTTCAGAAATTGTTTTAATATCAGAACCTACAAAACTTATGGGACAACATTGCTGAATTTGATTCAAATCAGAAATTTGTTTATTTGTTTTGTGTGTGTGTGTGTGTATATA